AATATCAAATATTTGATAAGAAATTTCAAAGATCAGAACTAAGCAAAAATACTTGAATGTGCATGGTTCATAGACATTTAAAGGGATATAACGGAACTTAACCATCAGCAAGGCTATGCACTAAAACATCCCTTGGACACATCGGCAAAATTCTTATTCACAACTTCAGTGCGCTTCTATGTTCCAAAGTGGAAGCTAAGTAGGTTTGTTCTGGTTTAACGCCCATTTTGTCAGGACCCGCTAATAAATAAAAAATCAAATAAATAAAGAAATAAAAAAAAAGAAATGCTTGTTTTTGGTGGGAAAAAAGAAATCCTTTTAGAATCTTCTGTGGTGGCCAAGTTTGAAAAGTTCACCGTATGACAAGTAAAAAGAAGGATCAAACAAAATTATTCTCCCTACAACAAATAATAATAGAAGAAAAGATATCATTTATTGCTGATTGGCGTCCAGATTAAGAGATGTGTTCTAGAATCATTAAAGAAACAAATAAGAAAAATAAAAAAATGAAAAATAAAACCCTCATTTAAGATGATCAGCTTCCCAATTGGAAATATATATATATATATCTTTTGGTGTTATTATTGTAAGAAAAATAAAAATAAAAAATCACAAATTGATAATGATTGGTTCCTAAATAGAAAAGTTACAAAACCCTACATAAAGCCTACAAATAAAAGAGTAAGGGTTAAAGAAAAAATTCTTGAGGCAAACTATAGAGATGGAGGCATACACATAGCTCATCACATAAGAGAGTAACCATATATGGAATCGTGGTTTTACTTCTTGCCCATGAAATGCCATCAGCCACGGACTACCAAGGCAATCTTGGATTTTCCACCGTGAATCTCAACAAATTTTTTTAAAATCAAAATGAATGAATAAAAAAGATTTTTGTATGACCGGCTGTGGGGAACCTCTGGAGGCTTAAATGATTGCTTTTCCTCGTGAGATTATGAGAGTCTTCCTAAAAACAATCCAAAGTTTTTTTTTTAAAAAAATATATTCTCAAAGTAAAATGATCGTAGGGTAGTGTGGGGTTTTTTTAGAACCTCCTAAGCTTGAATAATTATTCTTTCATGTAAGGTTATGAGAATTTTCACATGAAGCGTAATAAACAATATCTTTCAAAAAGATATTTAAAAACCAAAAGCACAACCAAAAAAAATATCTTTCTTAAATAAATTATAGTTTAGAGGTGTAAAAGTCCTTATGAACCTGCAAAATTATAGCAAAAATGACACTATTATTAAATTTACTGAACGGTTGTTACTTTTTGCGATAGGGCCGCGCTACTAAAATATTTCTTTCAAAAAGATATTTAAAAAAAAAACACAAGCACAAAAAATATTATCGTACATACTATTATGACGCTAATAATTTTATGCTTACTGTATACCCTTGGTCCTCTAAATACATAAGTTTTAAATTTATTCCCTTAAGTTTCTAATCTAAATTTTGGGACACTTTGAATAAAATTTATGGATATTTTTACACTTTTAACCTGTAAAAAAAAATATCATTATGCCAGCATAGAGGGGGAAGGAAAAAAAAAAAACCTAGCTTTTAAGTATATATATGCTCTAGTCAGACCCTGGGACCTGCTCACTTTCATTGTTGTACATAATTAGAGCTTCGTCCATGACCTTAGCCTGAGCCAGCATTTGTGCCCTCTTTGTTCCAGATGGGTGAGTAGAGAGGTAATCTCTAAGTGCTGAATCCCCAGTAACCTTTCCTAACTTCTTATAGACTGTGGGTGCCACTCGGGGATCGTATCCAGCTGAAGCAGCCAGCATCAGCCCAATATAATCTGCTTCCGTTTCCAGCCTGAAGAAAGTTGTGAATTATTATTAGCTATGCACGTCCCAGATCTGGAAACAATAATGAAGCAGCAAAAACCAAAGCTCAGTCATTGAGAATAATGAATAAATTTTACTTCCTATGTAAAGGCAAGCTCGAGATAAGATCTAACAATTTGTCCACAACACTAGCCATAATGAACTTAGAGAGTATCCAATACAGAATCATTTCCCAGAGGAGTCTTGTTAAACCTTCAGCAGCGTGGCGACCCGCAGCATGGCCAACCTAATCAATTTACAGAAATAAAGTGCGATCAACAGGTCCGCCACACCTTAAAAATTTGCAAATTTAGAGCAATATAGTACTACTACTTTCGCTCCTTAATATAATAGCTGGTTGAGTAATTTGAGTATATTAAGAAAATTAGTTGAACTAGTTATTTGTAATATACATGTGTTGTCTTTTCTAAAATATCCTTACTAATCACATGTATTAGCTAGAACTACTATTTGATGAAACTTTTAACATATGCAATTACTTTGTCATGGGAAAAAAATAGATAAATATAAAAAACAAAATGGATTGGGATCTTATATTTAGGATCAAATTGAATATCAAACTAAGTTTTATATCAAGTACATAAACATACCTCATGTCCCAGGACAACGGCTAGTTCTGCATCATTTCTATAATGCTCAAGCAAGCCAGTATACACAACAATCTTCCCCCCGGGTAAGCAAAAGGCATTGCATATTGGTTCATCCACCACTAACACCTCCCAGTTCAATCCATCCAAATGTGATTTAGCTGCAGCCTGTGAAGCTCGTTGTTTCTCACCTTTCTTTCTGCTCTTCTCATCAATCCACTTTTCATCAGCAATCTCATCCCTCCATACCTGCTCCTTCCTCACCCCTCTCTGCAATGCATCAATTATGTTCTTCGCGACGGTTCTTGCCCGTATGCTTTCTGGGTGTGAATCAGGCAAAAGTTTCCATTTAAATGTTGTTGCTTTCATTCTCTCTAATATCGTCTGCCCAAGCATCCTCTCCAGAGATTTGGGCATAAGAATGTAGTGAGTTCGCTTGGTATAGGGAACAGTTTCCAGTACAGAGATAGAAGGTCTTTCCGACGCATCAACAAAAGGAAAAATAGTGATAAAAAGCCCTGAACCAACCATCACTGCAATTAACACATTTCTTGGATCATGAAACCACTGACAAGGCCCTCGACGTTTGAAATGTTGCACATTGTATCGATCTACGTAGTAGAATCTCCTAGTCCCGGGGATAAACGGATTGGGTGGGTTCCTATGGTTCACTCCACGTCGGAATCCTAGTCTATGAGATATAAGAGAATAGGACGAAAAGCCATAACTGTTAGCTCCTTTACATGCAGAAGTGAAGTACTCAAATTGGCAAAATCTCTGCGAAATTTGGGCTTCGGGTATAATCCTTGAACAGAAACTAGGAAGAACATCAAGGGCAAGCTTCCCTCCTCTGTAGGATCTCATGATGGCGCAGCAAATGAAACAAATTAAAAAAAAAAAAGAAGAGTAGATCAGATTTAAAAAGAAACAAAAGGAAAATTGTCTTTCTCAATCAAAGCGTCATCCCAAAATGGAGATCGTGAAAAATAACCAGATGGATCAGGGAGAGGAAAGAAGAGTCGATATCAAAAATGAACGAGGGAATGCAGAAAAAATGACCATGCTCGTAAAAAAGATGAGCATGTTCAATTGAAATAGTTTTTATGTTTTAAATAATTTTTTATTTTAATAAATCTATAATTTAAAATAAAAAAAATCTTATAATTGATAATCCTTTAAAAAAAATTGTAGATTAAAAATTTTAAATTTGAACCATTCAAACCATGTTTTGAATGATCTAGATTTCATTATAACAATAAGCCAAATGAGGACAGAAAATGAATGAGAATAGGAGCGAATGAGGAGAAAAGAGAAAGGCAAAACATGCGGTTTATTCTAAAAATAGCTCATACAAGTTATATATAAACTTCCATGGCTAGAAAAATCCTCAACTCTCTTATTTTCCTCACTAGGAATAAACAAGACCGTCTCTTAAGACTCTTATTGTGTCAAAAGATGATTTTGTTTTTTGAACTCTTCAATGAAGTTACATTCTTAATTTTTCTTGATTTCACAACCTCATGCTATGGAATTTTAACTTCAGAAATATCATCTCAACGTGTCTATACTTTATCCTTTTGGTCCCCTGCTTCCTAATATAGCAAGAGTGCTTACAATAAAGAAAAAAGTTAAAAAGCAAGCATATATATCCTAAAAAAATATGAAGTTCTAGGGCTAGAGCACACCTCACTGTAACAGAACCATATATCAAACAACGAAAATCAAAATTCAGAATGAAGAGGTTCTAAGAGTAAAAGTGATAAACTGAACTTCCTAAGAAGTAGAAACATAAAAGAAGATTAGAAAGCTCATTAGAATAAAACAAGTAGGAACTGAAACTGATGCTGAATCTTTCCATAGTATGCAAAGTTTGTCTTGAGGATATATTCAACGTTAATGGTGTCTGTGGCGTAAACTTCCTTCTCGCCGAAAATGAGAAGCCACGTGGTTAGGCATCAAAAGTATATAGCACTTCATTAATGAAGATTTTCTATGGTTTCGCTATATAGGGCTGCGGAATGGGCTAATTCTAACTTAAGCCACTTCGCGTATGGTTATAATTGGTAATAAATTACGACTCTTAACTTCTAATTTGATTTCTGTCTGGCACATTTCTACTTGTTATTAGATAAACATCTTGTGTGAACAATGACCTTGTATCGACGACCGCATCGCATGAATTGGCAAAAAGAAATGTCAACTATGGGGAATAATAAATAAATGATTAGAAATATCAAAGATCAGAACTAAGCAAAAATACTTGAAATTAGTTCCTGGATATCTACAGGGATATAATGGAACTTAGCCACCAGCTAGGCTATGGACGAAAACATCCCTCGTACACATCTGCAAAATTCTTATTCACGACTTCAGTACACTTCTGTGTTTCTAGAAACTCAAGGTTTCCTAGCCATGATGTACCTTTCACACCCCTTACTTCTCTTATTTTATTCCATCTGTTACTGGGAGGTTGAACAAAGTGGAAGTAGGGATACCCTGGTTGAAGGATACCAATCAATGTACAATTTATAACAGAAATAGACAATTGTAAGATGTTAATCTTCCCATAAAAAACTATAAATATCAGCACAGAGGGGGATAAAAATCGTACTCCCCAATATATGCTCTAGTCAGAACTCAGAAGCAGCAACTAATGACTGCGCTTTCCTACAAAAAGCCTTCAACCCCACGACCTGCCCTCTCATTCTTGTATATAGTTAGAGCTTCCTCCATGACCTGAGCTTGAGCCAGCAATTGTGCCCTCTTTTTTCCAGATGGGTGAGTAGAGAGGTAATCTCTAAGTGCTGAATCCCCAGTAACCTTTCCTAACTTCTCATAGACTGTGGGTGCCACTCGGGGATCGTATCCAGCTGAAGCAACTAACAGCAGCCCAATATAATCTGCTTCCATTTCCATCCTGAAAGATGTGAATAAGGGTAGCGTTAGGCAGTAAAATCATGGCCCTAAAAACGCTACGCAGTTAAGCAGTTGAATAGGAGGATCACTATGACTATAGTTCTGGGTAAGTTTACCAAAGATGAATTGAAATTGATTATAATAATAATAAATATTCCATTTGAAATTAAACAGAAAAATGAATTAAAATTAATAAATTATAGATCCATTTTAAAATAGAAAAAGAAAAATTATATTAACATACACATAGTATACTACATACATGCTAATATAACATAGAGGCCATTAATAAATCGAATAACGAGTTTTACTCACTCAAACACAACTAACACAAGCAGCTTATTACAATATTCACGTATAGATTCAATGGAAAAGACCAAATAATCGCCAGAGGCAACCATATGATTTCTTAAGTAACAGGAGGAAAAACCAGAAAATATTTTGACACAAATATACTAAGTTTAACGGCCCTGAGATAATGCAATTCAGAACTTAAAGAGAGGGAAAGCTATGATAGGTCTTGGTCAGATTGTCAAAATATGCTCCTGGAACTGAGGAGAAGCTCAACTGGCACCAAAAATAAAATCAATGGAACAACGCACAAAAATAATGTCGTGAAGAATAAGATGAAACCTGAGACACTTTCCATTATAGAATATTGGCTCCCTTCTGTATAAAGTCGTCTTTATCAACCATTGACTGTAGGAGTGATTGCTAACTTCCAAAAAATAAAAGTATTTGCCATACGGTTGATCTTTTAATTTTGAAGGCTGATTGAGCGGCAATTGATTAAGGCCCCAAGCTACAGGTGTGCCCAGGCGAGGAAGCAATGAGTTATTTAAATTCACAACCTTCTTCCTCACTCACTTCTCATTTTTAGCATTACTTCGACATTCTACTAGTTTCGTAACACCATATCAAATATTATTGTTAATTAATCATTAGTCCACAATAAATTAAAGCTCAGTTTTGATCTTCTCAAGAGCTTTTTCTACTTTGCAGAAGTTATATAGAGGTCAGATTTAGTGACTGAGAAACAAAGTTTACCTCCTAGAGAAAGGCAGCCTCAAGAAAAGAGCTGACATTGTATTGACGACATCAGGCATGACAAATTGATAGAGTATCAACTGCAGAATCGCAAACCACAGATTTTTGGTCATCCCTTCAGCACTGTGTCGAGCCACAGCATGGCCAACCTATTCAATGATTAATAATTAAAAAAATCATAAATACTAACGTTCGTGAATTAATATCGAGATACATAAACAAAGTGCGACCAAATGGTCCGCACACCCAAAAAAAGTGTAAATATAGAGAATCAGAATTCAGAGAAATGCATAAACATACCTCGTGTCCCAGAATAGTGGCTACCTCTGCGTCACTTCTAAAATGCTCAAGCAAACCAGTAAACACAACGATCTTTCCCCCGGGTAAGCAAAAGGCATTAACAACAGGTTCATTCACCACTAACACCTCCCAATTCAATCCATCCAAATGTGATGTAGCAGCCTGTGAACCACGTTTCTCACCCTTTTTTCTGCTCTTCTCAATCCACTTGTCATCAAGAATCTCATCCTCGCGGTACCATTTATCTTCAAACTCCCCTTCCGTCTCCGACAATGCATTCAGTGTTTCACGCACATTACGTTCGTGTGCCGTCGCGTGCTCTGATGCATAACCCAAATCACTCCAGACCTGCTCTTTCCTCAGACCTTTCTGCAATGCATCAATTATCTCCTTAGCGATCATTCTTACCCGTATGCTTTCTGGGTGTATAGCAGGCAATATTTTCCCCTTAAACGATGCTTTCATTTGCTCGAACTGGGTCTCTCCAAGCCTCCTCTCCAGAGATTTGGACAAAAGAATGAAATGAGTTCGCTTGGTATAGGGAACAGTTTCCAAATTCCCATAGTATGCAGTGATAAAAAGCCCTGAACCAACCATCACTACAATTAAGACATTTCTTGGATCCTGCAGCCACCGACTAGGCCCTCGGCGCTTGAAATGTTGCACATTGTACCGATCCACGTAGTAAAATCTCCTAGCCCCGGTGAGAAAAGGATTAGGTGAGTTCCTATTCAGTCCATCTCGTAATCCTAGTCTATGAGATATAAGAGAATATGACGGAAACCCATAACTGTTAGCTCCTTTACATGCAGAAGTCGTCAAGTATTCAGAGTCGCAAAATCTAGTACTGCGCTGCGAAATTTGGGTTTTGGGCATAATCCTTGAAGAGAAACTACGAAAAGCATCAAGGGCAAGCTTCCCTCTTCTGTAGGATCCCATGATCGGGCAACTAACGAAACAAATTACAAAATGACCAGCTCAGATTAAAAGCGGAAAATTATCTTTCTCAATCAAAGCGTCATCGCAAAATGGAAACCGTGAAAAATAACCAGATCAGACAGCGGGAATAAAGAAGAATTGATATCACAAATGAACAAGGGAAGCCAGAAGAAATGGAACCGAATAGGCAGCTTTATGCTTCGCAGGAACTTTGGGAGAGGAAGAAGGCCAGACGTGCGGGCAACAATACGGAATAGCGTAATCCTGAAATGGCATGTTCAGAGATGCTTCCATGGAAGAACTGGATTCATTTTCCACTCAGGTTAAGGCATAGAAGAGACGAACCGGGAAGTTGTCAGATCCTCGAGGAAGAGCGGCGATCAAAATTTCTCGCGCCTGCACCGAACTCCGAAGAAAGAAAATTCTAGAATTCTGCAAGGGTGCGTTTGGCAGGAAATGGGAGGAGAGCAACGTTAACAAAGGAATTGGGGGAACAGAGACGGGAGGGTTTTAATGAGAAGAAGGGGAGCAGAGGGGTTTTGACGTTATCTTATTTAAGGGGGAAAAATATATTTTTATACAGGCAATTTCACTTTTTTATTAAAATTAATATAATTTTTGACTACTTAAATTTGTCCTCATCTTAATTTTACTCTCTTAAATTTAAACAATAGACTTTGGTCTTTTAAATGATAAAATAGTCTATATTTTTATTGAATCATAAAGACTAATATGTTAAGTAAAAAATTTTAAAAGATCAGAATTAAAATAAGAATAAATTTAAAAGACACAAAATGATATTAAATTTTTTTTTTACTTGGTTTTTATTTTGGGGAAGGCAAAGAAAGCAAATTCCCGTTTAAGGTTTCCCTCTGTAATTTAAAAATATTATAGAATGAGATTATCATCTATTCAAATTTAATTTAAATCAAGATATAGATAATACCTTTGATATTCCCATTTAACAAATCATATTTTTAAAATAATATATCTAATCCATAATGT